GTCACAATCTGTGATGGCGAGGAACGATGGAGATAAACGAAACAGTCTTTAATCCAAGAAACACAGGGTACATCCAACACTGGGAACGGCAGGAAACACATGAACATAACAAGCAGAACCGACTGAGACAGACTGCACAGACTAGGACTTAAAGGGTTAGTTCACCCAAAAATGAAAATTAGGCTGCGTTTTACTCACCCCCGAGGCTCAAAACAACGTTCAAGAATTAGACGTACAAAACGAGGATTTGTAAAGAAGAAATGTCAGAGGATTTTGATATAAGCCAAGAGGAGACTGGTTTTCCTTTGCTAAAGTAAGGAAACTTTACAAGCTAGATTCAAGTGATTACATTTTGAATATGGATATTTTTCTTACAAAAACGCATCGATTCGCTACAGGAGGCCTTTGTTCAACCCCCCCGAGGCGTGTGAGACACTTTTTTTATGCATGGGCGCTTTTTATTTAACTTCACGAGGACAGGAACATGACCAAATAAGGGAACAGAAACATGGGCAAAACATGACACAGACAGTCCATGATCCTGACATCACGCCCCCTCCTGGAAGGTGTGTCCTCGCACCGTAGCAACAACAGAGGGAGGTGTGGGTGGGAACTTGGGAGGAGCAGGAGGAGCCAAGCAGGACCCAGGCCACAGCCATAATGTGCGGAGCAGGAGCAACTGAGGACCAAGGTGGAGTTGGCGGGAGGAAGGAGCCCAATAGAGCCGGTGGGACGGAGCAACGAGGTGCAGCAGAAGCAGAGTCCTGAGGCGATGGCGGGTCGACGCCCAACCAAGGCGGAGCTGGCACCATATTGATGGTGGGCTGAGGGCGAGCAGAGGGGCTGCCAGACGACAGCGGTGGAGGGGGCAGGAGCGGGTGGGAGGGCGGTCATTTGTGCGTCTCCGGGCATTCAGGGCTTAACTCTGGATCGGAAGCCCCCTCTAGGCTGAACACGGGAACAGGATGGCGCTCAGGAGGAGCAGACACTTTAGAAACTGGCATCGTAGAATGCACAGAGCGCGTCGTCCGGGTAGCTGCTGCTGCTTGCTAGCAGCTGGAACAATCTCGTATGGTCCTCGAGCGATCTCTCCCCCTGCTCCAGCAGGAGAAGGAGAAATTCCAGGCGAAGGAGGGCATCCATGAGGGAAACACAATGGAAACAAAAACACTGAGAAAAACGAGAAAACAAACGGAGGGGAAAACACGGAGGTAACTGTTTTTGGTCAGTTCTTCTGTCACAATCTGTGATGGCTAGGAACGATGGAGACAAGGAATAAACGAAACAGTCTTTAATCCATGAAACACAGGGTACATCCAACACTGGGAACGGCAGGAAATACATGAACATAACAAGTAGAACCGACAGAGACAGACTGCACAGAATAGGACTTAAATACAGGGGCTGATTGGGGAAACACAGGTGTATGGGATGACTAATCAAACTAATTAACAAAATGAGGACAGGAACATGACCAAATAAGGGAACAGAAACAGGGGCAAAACATGACACAAGACAGTCCATGATCCTGATAAGTATAGTATATACCAGTTTCCCAACCTTTCTTTAGTCGTGGCACCCTTTGGAAATTTTAACAAATTTGTGGCACCCTACAAAATTAATTTTGTCACAATATTTGAATTTCTAACTTCGATATG